TATATATATATATATATTTAGGTCCCCCTTTAGAACACAGTTTATAATCTTAGGTTGTGGCTCACTCAAATATCTGATGTTCTGGTTTATAGCTCAACTCACCAAGCACTGCAGATATGACAGAGCAGCTCTGTCTCTCAGAGTCTCTTGGAGCTTCTTGCTCAGAGCTAATCGAACTGATTGAGGAAGATTTCCAAGAGGAGAGAGGTCCATGTACTGTGATTCTGTAAGATACAGCAAGTTCAAATATTACACCTTCGTACTATTTGCCAAACGTTTTTGACTTATCTGAACTTAGTTACAATTCTGTGCAGCTCTAATGTTTAAATAATTTGCCTTAAAGGAACCGGAATATTCTGTTAAAGGGGACTGTTTCACCCAAAGATGAAAAACATATAGGTTCACTGATAACTCTAAATGTGTGATTGAGAGTGTCTGATCAGAACAGCATATGTGCAGTATGTGCTTAAAAAAGTAGAGAACTGCACAAGTGGAGGAAAAAAGAAAATGTGTTGGATCCAAAACTAGATCCAAAGCTGATGATCCGTATCTAGAATTCATGTTTTTAAGAAACTGGGAAAAAAAACAAGCAAGAGAGAAATATCTGCTTAAGCCCAAAGAAGAGGTTTAAAAAGACCTTCGAGCCTGAAGAACGTTTGATCAAGACCACTTGAAAAGCAGAACCACAAGAAAAGTCTAACATCTTAAAAGCAATTTCAAATAGAGAAATTGCATTTCCTGTGAAAATGCAGTGTGAATGCTTAGTGCTGAAAAACAGCTGAAATGTAGCTGAAATGAAAGAACAAGCCTAAGTTAGCAGAAGAAAGCAGAAAGAACACATATTTGCTGAATTAAGATTTAAATAAAAAGAAATAAGAACAAAAATCAGGAAATTATCTAAAAAAGCTGAAATTAGCAAAAAAATAAAAAATAAAAAGCTATAGCTGAAAAGACAGAAAGAAACTTAAACTACCAGAAGGAAGTGGAATGAGCTGAAATAAGCTCATATAATGTGGAACTAGCTGAACAAGCTAAATTTAGCACAAAACAGAGAAGAAGTAGCTGAAAGAGCAAAAAAAGCTGAAACTAAAAAAAAAAGCGGAAAGGAGCATAACACGCTGAAATCGGTAGATATAAATTAATTAGGCTGAAAGTGGCAAAATTACCACAAAAGACTTGAATGTATCTAAGAAAGATGAAATTAGCTAAAACAAATGGCTGAACAGGAAGGACAAATATGCACCAAAGTCCATGCTCAAAAATCAAAAACTATTAAACTTTTAAACTATTATTGTTTTGGTATATGATTTTTTTGAACTAGTTTGAAAACTGCGGGACGAGAATCACACCGAAAAACGTACGGAAGAAAACTGGATCACAACAGCATGAATGTTTTATAACCATTCATTCACACAATTGTTAGTCAATGTTGAGTAAGACTTTTGCACAGTATTGTTTCAGGACAACCCAATTTATTTCTACAGAAAGCTATAGCTTCTGTAGAAATAAATCCACATTGATGTCTACATTTTGAATAAATGGGGAAACACTTCCTCTGCCAACCATGCAGGATTATGTTTCACTTCCTCATGATGATCTCCCAACTGTCAGTTATTTTCCATTAACAATAAAAATTTAAAAAAGCCACAAGTTCAGGAGCACACACTAACCGTTCTGATGACTTCTCCAAAGAGCCGCTCCTTGCACCGTGTCCCCGTTGAAGATGCCATCCACTGTAGTCAGCGAGTCGTCGCAGGATCTAGACATTGAGACCGAGTCGTTCTCAAAGCCTCCGATGGTGCCAGGCTGCAGGCAGATATCTGAAAATACACACATCGCAGATAAAAGAGCAAAACAAGCACCAGCCCCCTGAAATGTTATAAAATGATAGAGTATTAGTTTTACAGTTACAGGAAAAAGACATATCTGTTGCACTTCTTTATTCAGTGTGACAATGACTTCCTTCTTTTAAACGGTTAATTCAATGTATCAAACTTTTTTCCCCATCAAAACCAAAAAAATGGGTAAGAACTGCAGCAGCCCCTTCATTTTGACAAACAGAGCCAATCACACTGAGGCAATCAGCAGGGCAATGAAGGAAGACTGGAGGAAACAAAGCTGCAGTTGTTATTTTAAATTCAATAAGGCCCCATCCTCATTAAAGTGAATATTTGGAAAGCTGAAATTTTGTTCAGAAAACACGATAAAAAAAACCCTCAACTTTTGTTGTATCTGTGCAGACTCAAAACATGACAAAGTAGCCTAACTGACTTCACTATTAATTTCTGTACTAGAAACCAAAACAACATAAGAGCTGCTTATTTTGAAGGTTTTATCTGCATCTGCCTCACTTTATTATCTCGATCTTGTCCGTTGATAGTTTACTGAAATGAACAGAAACAGCACTTATTCAAGGGGAATCTTTAATAAAATCAGCACAGTTTTTTTCTGTATTTAATCATCTTTAAAATGTATGTTTTGTGTCATGAACCAGAGGCCGGATCGCAAACAACAACAACAACCACTGAGAGGGTTAAAAGATTTATTGTGAAATAAGTAAAACTCTGGAGTAGGTCCGGTTCTGGGCTGGTTCCGATCTTCTGATTGGTAGTTCGTGATTGGGTAGTGTTGTAGTGGCGGGCTGCCAGTAGAAGTAGAACTGATGTTAAGGTCCACTGGAACGGAGTCCAACAGGCTTGCAACTAAAAGATAAAGGTTAGTAGATGCAGGGGGAAAGAGACTAATTGGGGAAATGAATCTGTGGGAATCAGATTCAGGGATAAGGATAAGTCCGTGATACAGAATGAGCTTGACCTTTAATCCATGATCCAAAAAACAGTCAGAAGGGAAAGGCAGAGTTCATACCGTGAAGTCAGTTGTTCAGCAGAAGTATCCAGTACGTGATCCAAAAAAGAGAGTCAAAAAAAACAAGAGCATGAGTCGGTACCTGATCAGATGAGCAAAAGCAGACGAGGGCTGAGGCAAAAGCGTGGTCGTGGTCAAGGCAAGGGTCATGAACGTGATGAGTCAATCAATGGAATGCTGGAAAGTCTACTGCTGATGAGACAGGATAGAGAATCTGGCCCAGACTTCTTCTTCTTCTTCTTTGGTTTTTAACGGCAGCTTGCATCCATCAATGTTGCACTACTGCCATCTCTTGGTGTCTATAAGTTAATTTCTTTCCTCAAATTCTCTTATTGAGTCCAGTATTATTTAAAAAACGAAATATCTTTCTTTTCCCTTCTTCACTATTCAGCTGCGAAGCCACATTTTCAAATTTTAGTTCCCTTTTACAACCTATTTCCATTCTCAATAATCTTCTTTGACCCACATATTTCCTGCAATTAATAAAAACATGTTCTATTGTTTCTGTGGTATTACACCAATCACATAAACCAGTAAGATGTTTCCCCATCTTAAAAAGAGTGCCATTCAAAAAACTATGCCCGGTTCTTATTCTATTTATAATTATCTCCTCCCTCCTATTTATTCCTCCGATTCTTTTAACATCAACTGTTTTCTGTATCCTGTATAAATGTCTCCCTTTTGTCTCATTATTCCAGCTCATTTCCCATAATTTCTTGCTTTCTTTCCAAACTATACTTTTTCCTTCAGACTTAGATAATTTTATTGACATATCAATATCTTCTTTTTTAACAGCTTCTTTAGCCACCCTATCTGCTTTTTCATTACCTAAAATACCTAAATGAGCAGGAGTCCACATAATTACTATAGTTTTGTTTTGTTCACAAAGTCTATGATGAACAAACAGAATCTCATACAAGATGTGTTGGTGATTACTTGAGGTTCCCTTTTCAATGCTTAATATTGCTGATAATGAATCACTGCAAACTATAATTTTACTTGTTCTACTATCCTCCACCCATTCTAAAGCCAATAATATAGCACATAATTCTACTGCATATATACTCAGAAAATTAGATGTTCTTTTCGAAAGCTTAATCTTTAATTCAGGAATCACTACTGCTACACTAGTTGCTTCAGTTTTTGGATCTTTTGAACCATCTGTATAGATTTGCAGGTAATCATTATATTTCTTCTCTACTCGATCATAAAATTCTTGACAAATATCTGTAGTTTTCCTTTTCTTAATATTTAATAATGATCTATCTACATTAACATATTTCCATGCCCATGTAGGCCTTAAGGGCCATAATACTGTTGAATTAAATTCTTTGTTATATACTTTAAATGTTCTTGCTAAATTATCCCCTATCCACCCAAAACTATTTTTAAGCTCCTTTCCTCTTTCCCAACAATTTTCTAACACTTTCTTAACTGGATGAGTTTCATTGTGTCCTTTCAAATTTATCCAATAATTAGCCATTAACTGCTGTCTTCTAATGCATAATGGCATTTCTCCTGATTCTACTTGTAGAGCACATACTGGAGTTGATTTTACTGCCCCTAAACAAATTCTCAGTGCTCTAGCTTGGATGACATCTAATTTATTTAGTCGAGTTTTAGCCGCTGATCCATACACCACACTCCCATAATCTATTCTTGACCGAATTAATGACACATAAATATGTTTAAGTGACTCAAATGTTGCACCCCATGTCAACCCTGCTAAACACCTCATAATGTTTAGTACCTTTTTACCCTTCTCTATGATATGATCTATGTGATTTCCCCAAGTTAATTTCTTATCAAACACTACTCCCAAAAAACAAAAATAATCAACCCTTTCTAACTCTTTTCCGTATAATTTTAACTTTTTATTAACTCCGATCTTTTTATTTGTGAAATACATGACTTTTGTCTTTTCAACTGAAAATCTGAAACCCCACTCTATTCCCCACTTACTTACTTTATCTATCCCTTCCTGAAGTTTTAAAATAAGATGTTCCACATTTCTTCCCCTTTTCCATAACGCTCCATCATCAGCAAAAAGTGATTTACCATAACTGAAAGATAAATCTTTGAAAATATCATTAATCATAACTGAAAATAGTGTAGGGCTTATCACACTTCCTTGAGGGGTTCCATTTTCTATTTTACATTGTTGTGATATATGCGATCCTATTTTAACTTGAATAGTTCTGTCACATAAAAAATCCTTTAACCAATTAAACATGTTTCCTCCTATTCCTGCCTGATGTAATTTAATCATTAACCCTTCTCTCCATAGCATATCGTATGCTTTTTCTACATCAAAAAACACAGAAACAACAGTTTCCTTATTAATCTGAGCTTTTCTAACATCGTCTTCTAAACATAAAATAGGATCCATTGCTCCTCTTCCTCTACGAAAACCACTCTGATAGTGTGTAATTATGTTTCTCGATTCTAAATAATGCATCAATCTCTCGTTCACCATCCTTTCCATCAATTTACACATACTAGAGGTTAAAGCAATTGGTCTGTAATTTCCAGGATTACTGTGATCTTTCCCAGGTTTCTTTATTGGGATAATAATTGCTTCTTTCCATCTATATGGTAGACGCCCTTCTCTCCATATCTTATTAAATAATATTAATAATTTATCTAATACTTTATCACTTAATTTTTTTAACATATTATAACATATCTCATCTTTCCCTGGTGCACTGTTCCTAGTTTTATCCAAAGCTCTTTTCAATTCTCCCATAGAAAAAGGACAGTTCATCAGATCTTCATTAATATTCTCTTTTCTTCTTAAAGCTTCTACATTTCTTGATTTTGTTCTCTCCCTTCTCTGTTTTTCATCATCTGATAAATTTTCCCCACTATGTATTTCCACAAAAGTACTTGCTAAAATATCAGCCTTTTCTCTATCAGTTATTGCTATTTGATTATTTTTATTAAGTATTGGATAACTCCATTCTCTTCTGTCTCCCCCCATTTTTTTGATCATTCCCCAAACTTCCCCTATTTGTGTCCTACTACCAATTGTATCACAAAAGTCTCTCCAATATGTTCTCTTTGCTCTTCTTATTGTACTTCTTACTTTTGCCTGTGCTTTTTTATATTCAATTAGATGTTGAAAGTTATGGGACCTTTTGACCAGCTTAAATGCTTTATTTCGTTCTCTTACTGCAGTTTTACACTCAATATTCCACCACGGAACTAACTTTTTCCTATTTTTCCCTGAAGTCTTTGGAATAGATTCCTCAGCAGCTGATAAAATGCTATGACTAATCTCTTGACTCATTCTTTCAATACTCCAATCATTTTGAACATTTAAAAGTTTTCTTTCACATAAATACTTATATTTTTCCCAATTTGCTTTCCCAAATATCCACTTTCCCCCTACCATTTCAGGAGTCTGTATCTGACCCATCCTTATATTACTGGTTATAATATAATGATCACTACCAAATGATTTATTTCTTACTTGCCATTCACATAATGGAGCCAAGCAGCTAGATACAAATGTTAAATCTAATACAGATTCCTTACCAGAATTAATATCTATTCTTGTCTTTGCTCCATTATTCAAACATACAAGATTTTTATCATCCAAAAATTCTTCTAATATATTACCATTATAATCTATTTTCTCACTCCCCCATAGTGAATGATGTGCATTAAAGTCTCCACACCAAATAATATTTCCTTTCATACCCATCTCCTCCAGTTGACTTATTTCAATCTTTTTGCAGGGATTGTAAAAATTTATAATCATTATTTCCTTTCCTTCTATCCATATTTCAATTGCTACATATTCTAAGTCTCCTTTCCTGTCAATTATTTTATATGGAATACCTTCTTTAATCAAAGAAAGACACCCACCTCCATTTCCTTCTTTTCTATCAAATCTAACTGCAATATATCCATAAACTCTAAAGTCTAAATAATCCTTCAACCATGTTTCCTGTATACAGATTATATCAGGTTTTTCTGTCTGATCACAAATAAACTGTTTAAAATCTTGACCATTTGACAAAAGACTCCTTGCGTTCCACTGTAGGATTAGGATTGTGATAAAAATGAGCCACATGATCCTTCTTGACTTGCTTGGCTACTTAGCTCTCCCCTTACATCTTCCCATCGGATGTTCTTCATATCTAGACTATGACAAGCTGCCTTCACAATGATCTGAATCCTTTCTGTCTTAGACTTTACATCTATTGTTGCATTTATTACTCCTGCAATAAAAGTCACCATCTTCTTCTTCTCTTCATCTATTTTCCTTTCCACCATTTCCATAACCTTTTGGATTACTTGTTTCTCCTCTGTCATAGGTTTTCCATGCGATTTTTCTTTTTCAACCATTTTACATGCTTCTGCATATGTTACTTTCTGCATGACCTTTGTTTTCTGCACAACTGTTTGCTGCTTCATCACTTCACACCCCCAGAAAGCAACGCTATGCTCTCCTCCACAGCTGCAGCATTTTGGTTTGACTCCAGCTCCACATTTTCCATATTCATGATCTCCAGAACATCGGGCACATCTCCTTTTTCCTTTACACAATTTAGCAATATGTCCAAATTCCTGACAGTTGAAACATCTCACTGGTTTAGGTATAAACTCCCTGACACTAAACCTTATCAAGCCTAAGAAAACGTCCTTTGGCACATCTTTTGTTTCAAACTCCACCAGCACAGTTTCTGTTTCAATTTTCTCTGGACCTTTAGTCATTCTTCTTGCTCCTTTTACTTCTTTATTTCTTTGCTTTAGATTCTCAACCAGATCTTTCATATTTACATTTAAAGGTACTCCTACAATGACTCCTTTACTTCCATTATTTCTTTTTTCACCTACTCTTACAACAGTTTTAACTTTAACTTTGCACACCCACCCAATTTTCCTCGCTTTTTCCACCTGAACTTCCGTATTGCACCCAATCAGAAGATTTCCGTCTCTCAGTATTTTTGCATATTTGATTTCTCCAACTTGTGTTTTAAGTGTTTTTGTTAACTTTAGTGGGTCAATTTTCTTTACTCCCGCTTCTTCTTCAAATCTTATTATAACATTCATTGATGGGCTTTTTGACACATCTGCTCTTTCTTCATTACCTTCACTATCAGTTCCTTCTGTACTTTCCTCATTTCTCTTTCTCCTTTTCCTTTCACTAGCTTGCTGTTTCTTTCCACCCTTCCCCACTTTTTCCCACTCTTTCTCTTCATTTTGATCGTCCATCTCTTCCTCTTCACTACCATCCATGCTATTCCAATTGCTTCTTTCTACTTCTACCGACGTCATGTTCTGACATCAGCCAAACAAAAGTTCAGTTCAACAACCGTTTCCTGCTTTTCACTGCAGCAGTCATCTATGACTACTTGACAGCTCCAAGTCAGAAGCAGGTTCAAGATTTAGCAATCTTCCACCTTTAAAAATGATTCCTCCAAATCCCTCGATTTTGTGGTTTTTGGATTTTTCAAACCTGCCGCCTTATTGTCTCCGGTCACACCCTCCTCTCGCCTGGCCTTTCCGGCACCTCTGGCCCAGACTGAGAGGAATGAGTGAACTTAAGTAGTGACTGGACCAGGTGGTGGAGCTGTGGGATAATGAGCGGTGACAGGTGACATGAGTTGAGTGATTACTGAGTGTGCAGCATGACAGAGGAGCTGACAGAGAGCAGAGCTATGACAGTTTTGTATATATATATATATATATATATATATATATATATATATATATACATGCAATGTCCTAAAAATATTCAGAATATTGTAACTGACTTCAGCAAAGAATAAAAATATGTATCCGAACACAAGTTTAATCATAAATAGTTCTGACTGATCTATTAATTTCCCACTAATTATAATCACTTTTTATTATTTGACACCTTTATTTGTTTATGTTTTCTTATTATGTTGATATAATTTATCTTTTTGTCATTTAATATATGTTTTATTGTTTACCAGATTTGTGTAGTGGTTTTGCTGTTTTTTGGGGCTTCAGAATATTTGATCAGAAAACAACAGGAAAGATCAATAAAGTATTTATTTTTTTATTTTTTTTTTTTGCCCAGGCCAAGACAGTGGGAAGTAGGGGTGTGGATGGTGCTGCAGCAACCCTGATGGATGCCAGAGAGCAAGCACATTGAAATACATCCAATAATGTTCAGTCAGGTCGTCTGGACGACCACTTCTTCCACTATAGAAACAGGTCCAGGTGACATGATTTAACCATATTTTAAATTATGAAATATGAAGTTTGTGGGAATCAGTTTTGTTTGGTGGCTTCTCAGATTGAAGAAGTCCTTTGGATGAAGGACGAAACGTCTCAGGAAAAAAAAGAAACCATCCAGATGACTTAACTGAACATTGTTGGATTTTATACCTGGATTACTGAGCATGAACTTTGGTGTTATAATACATAGTTAAAAATAATATTAACAATAAAAAGCATAAAAATAGATGTTATTATCACTGCATATGCGTTCCAATATTTAGATTATACATTGTTTGTAATACTAGTAAGCAGGCCAGCACTGTTATTGCAAATCTATGAGCAAAATTTTACAAACACAAAAAAAGTGGGCAGATTGGCAGTACAGTGTGTGATTGCAATTTTTTAGATACTGTCTGTCCGAAATATACAATACACTTGTATATATTTGATAGTATATTTTTTGTATGGGTGTTTACAATCATAAAAATTCACACATGTTCACACCTTTACAGGGAAAAACATGTTACCAAGACTACGATCTATGCTGTTTTTTGTTGTAATTATATAAAAATTTCAAAATAAAGCAGCTAATAACTAAATTTATAAAGAGCTAGACCATATTAAAAGCTAAATTTCTAATAATATCCATCACAACAGGCTTTCTCACAAAAGATAAGTGCAAAACATCATGTGTTTACTGGAACAAATGCAAGCAGAAAGACAGGGAAAACCCCAAACCAACAAAAATAAAATACTTTTTTATCTTCTTGGCTTTGGCTGTACACATATTCAGTGAGAACAAACCCCCAAAAAAGTGATGACACAAGTTTTGAGATCTTTTCTCCCTCCAACCCAAACACTCAAACCTGACTACTTACCGTAGTGTCCGGTTTTCTTTATCTCCAGCTCCAGTATGCTGTAAGCAATAACCGTGCCAGAGGGGATCTCCAAAGAAACGTCGCAGTCGAGCTGAACTGTGTTGACCTCCTTCCCGGACAGAACCTTCACAGAGCTCCCCGGCAGTCCCAGCAGCCGGAGCACCCCTTGAAAGGTGCACTGCTGCTTCTGCGTTTGGCTGACGGAGCAGGAGTTGGTGGTGAGGATCCTTTCTTTCACCACCGTCAGCACTTCAGCCCGCTTCTCCATCTGCTGCACCAGAACGTGCTGCATGTCCACTAACCTGATGCAGAGAGACACAACCGTGAGCATCCATAAAAAAAAAAAACAAGGCACATTCCACCTCTAATATGAAGATCTGGAAATAATGTTACCTTAAGGTACTGTATTTTCCGGCGTATAAGCCACAGTTTTTTGCATAGATTTGTCAGTCCTGTGACTTATATATGTTTTTTTTTTTCCCATATTCATAACACAATTTTTGACTGACGCTTTCAATTTCTAAAAACAGCAACAGCGGGTCCTCCTGTGCACGCTCGCTTCACTCAGATGGTGCAGGCGGAGGAACGCTGGAGAGCTAGCGGCTCCGGCCGTGATGGATGGATGACGCCGTGCCACCCAGGTGAAATGAAGCTGTTTTGACCATTAAATAAATGCATAATAAACAGGACGGGTCAGCGGTGATGCATAATAAATGCGACTTATATGACAAAGCGACTTATATATGTTTTTTTCCTCTTCATGATGCTTTTTTAGACTGATGCGACTTATACTCCAGAGCGACTTATACGCTGGAAAATACAGTAGTATCTCACTGCTGCGACTGTTGGAGATGGAGAAGACTCCCCCCTCGAAGCAGCACCTGCTGCTCGCTGAAAACACATCAGTCTCCAAAAACCTCCAGTAACGCCACAAATGTTGCTAGATTAGTTGTACTCTTAGAAAAGAGGCACTGGAGGGGTCTGAGCTAAGGTTGCCACCTTCGCCTGCTTTGTAATCACGTTGACAGTTGTGACAAATCTGCGATTATTTTGAAAGAAAACGTGTTGCGCAATTTTTTTGAACGTGCTCAGAATTCAAGCGACAGAACTCCAAGCCAGTCAAGTAAATTGAGAACCATTACAAAAGTTTTTAGATATTTTGGAGGCTCCTCTGCCCAGTAAGATACAGGCTTTAGGCATTATTCTGCTATTATGCGTTTATCGTTCTGTAAGCTGCTGCAAAGCAAGAAATAAAAAAGTCACCTATTGTTGGAGTCTTTCAGCAACTTCTTCACATCCAGTTCTTCTTTCTTCAACTTGCCAAAACACGACTGGAGCTTAGACCTGCCCAGTCCCTCCACTGAGACACTGCCGGGACCGGCCTCCGTGTCCAGTTTTCCGGTGTATTCGTCTCCAAATGTTCCCTGGTAGGTCAAGAATTCAGCCTCAGACACGCCTAAGGAAAAAAGGTTCAGAGTTTCCTGGTGAGAAGGTGGCCTAAAAGTTGGCACAATTTATTTTTCTTTATTGCACCAAAGGGTCTACGTGCACATTAACACACCAGGTTTGAGAGCTTTGCCACCCTGCAACAGGTCGCTGAGGGTGAAATCGGTCGGATGGTACTTGGGTCTCTGCCAGGCCCAGAAGCGGTTGCGCTTGACAACGATTGCCATGGGCAGAAGCTTGTGCGAGTCATTTACCCGGGACACGTGGATGAGGCTTCCGTCGGGGTCGATCTGACGGACGAATCGGGCCGTCGCCTTGGAAAACATGACCTCAGCAGGAGGGGATGGCAGAAAGCTGAAAGAGATGTTTGTTTTTCAGTTCTTCCTGGTTTTTATTCAACTACTAAAAATAAAAGGTTATTTCAACACGTTTTCTCTTTTGATGGGTTTCTTTTAAAGCGGCTACTTTCCAGAAATGCATGGGTGTTTGGAATAACACCCCACAGTTTACACTAGCCTAACATGGTGACTCAACTTTCAGAGGAAGTCCCCTGCATGTTATTAGTGTAACCGCAAGTGCACACTCGTGCTCTGCTCACTATTTCTGCAGGCTCACATTGCCTTGCTTGAATATTTAAATAGAAGTTGTGAAGGGGGTAAAGGAGTAGAGGTAAACAGCAGATCAGACTTTTGGCAGGATAACAAAGAAAGGAGGCGGAGGGGATAGAAAAACTAAAAGATGAACCTCTGTTTGTGAGTAAAAATGTCAAAGCAACAACAAAGTCTTATGTGTTGAGTCATGTGGGATCAATTATTTAAGAGTTGAGGTGATGTCACCGAACATATTTCCCTAACGACAAAAGGCAAATCCAAAGGCTCAAATATACAATTTATAAATCAGTAATGTTTCTCTTGACTGGACGGAGGAAAAACGAGACAAGAGGACGACATGAATTACCTTCTAACCACCTTAAAGACAATAGTCTATCTCAGTGGTTCCCAACACTGGTCCTTGAGGAACACCATCCTGCATGTTTTAGTTGTTTCCTTGCTCCAACACATCTGATTCAGTGATTTAATTATGTCATCAAGTTCTACAGAAGCCTGTTAGTCACCGAATGATTCAAATCAGGTGTGTCAAAGTCAGGGAAACAACTAAAAGGAGTGATTTGGTTCAATCATGTGGTTTTTTCTACTGGTTTTAAGCTTTAAATTCAGTTCAGTTGTCAAAATTACCACACTGTTAAAATATTGTAAAATTTACAGTAAAAATGACACAAACCAAATTCTAGCTAAAATCTGTAAAACTCACTGAATTACTGCTATTTTAGCGTTTTCTAAGGTCAGTTTGATTTGGGATACCTCCAAAAGTTAATCAGTAAACACCGGATGAAAAATATCAGGAAGTTTAATTTAAATCTGTTCAGTGGTGCATGAGATATTTTGCTAACAGACAGCCACACAACATAGACAAAACATCATTGCCCACCTTTTCCTAATAATATAAGCTGCACTGTTTCATGAGTCGTGGTCATTTACTGTATTTACTGTGACACTTTTTAGAATTTAGTGGTCTTTTCAGTCATTTCTACAAAATATGTTTACACTGCACCTACTCACTACCATCAGGTGTACTTGTACAACATTTTAAGAACCATGTGGTCTGTTATACTCACCTGCCTTATTTACCATACCATAACATTTTATTTATAGAGCACTTAAAACAGTGACAAGGCCAACCAAAGTGCTGAGCTCTAATAGCTCATTTGAGCTATTGGACCAGGGGTCTGCAACCTTTACGATCAAAAGAGCCATTTTTATGCATTGCTTCACTAAATTAAACGTCCAGAGTCACAACAAGCTGCTACAACTAATCAAGTGGTGGTCCATGAGCCACTTTAGGTTTGTTGGAGGGAGCTTTTGTGGCCAGTAGGGACCACCCATTATAAAGATAAAAATATCTGATTTTAAAATTGATATTTGTGCAATTTAAAACAAAAGACCAGGATCTTGTAAAGAAGGAAAAAAAATAAATTGTATTTTTTACCATCTTTTTAAAAAAATTATTTAAACAAATTGAACTATGCCAACGTGATTTTTTTTTTATTGTGGAAAAAATAATTAGAAATAAAGCATGAAGTTAAAGTGATTATATTACAGTTCTAGTATTCACATATTTGCAAAATAAATGACCAAAAAATTGAAAAAAAAAAAAGCTTCTTTTTTTGTTGTTGTTGTTTAAATAATAACCAGTAAAATTCAGTTTTATTTAAGTTTTGGTCAAAGCTTGAAAGAGTCACCGCAGAGGGACCAAAGAGCCGCATGTGGCCCCAGAGCCACAGGTTGCAGACACCTGTATTAGACAGAAGCAGAAATTTAAATAACTAATTTAACTACAACTTATAATAAAAATAAAAAAAAATTCACATAAAATTGACTTTTCTCAAGTTAATCTACTTTATCGACGAGCGCCTGATACTTTAAGATGCTAAGAGGGACAAATATTCGCGATTTTGCGCTTTGAGTAGTAAAAATGTTGCCATGTTCGTCCTATTCCACCTGTATACACTGCTGCACGTGCGTTATAGGCGCGTGGGGGAGACCCATGACTGATTATCTAATTAAACCACCGAAGAAGAAGCTCGAAAACACACGAATAACCGTGTTAAGTTTTAGTTAAAAGGGAGTCGCTTACGTTAAAGGCGAGGTTTGGTTCCAGTTTCTGCGCGTGCAGACGCCTCTCAATAATAAATGTCTCAACTGGTCCCAAAATGGACTGAAATGTCCCCAGAGCGGGACTCAGGGCGTCCACAGCAGACGGATCAGATCTCTGGTTCGACCCGAGAGCGAACACTTTAAAGGACTGGTCCACCTCCACATTGACAGCCCGCTCCTCCCTCCACTGGACACTGGGGTGGTCTGTGTCTGTTAGCAGAATATCTCTAGAATCACTGAGAGGATTTAAATGAAACTCTTGGGGAGTATTAATCGGATGTGCATTTACATCTGATTAACTTTTGGAGTCAACTCGATTCAAGATGACTGCCACAGAAATGCAGATATCAGTTTGGTGTGGTAGTAACTGACAGTCATTCACAGCTAATACTCCAAGAACTAACACCATGTGAGATGTATGAGATTATTTTAATCTGGAGGGAAACTCTGGAGTAAAAACCAGTGGGTATGCATTTCTGGGACCTTTAATTGTGTCTGTGTTGCCATGTGGTATGAGCAGGCTTTTATGTTCTATTAATAAAAATGTTTTGCATTTCATTGCTTTGAGTCATTTGGTTCGGACTGAAGCTATTTTTAACAGCCGTGGTCAGATGTTTCACTCAACATGGGAATAAATATCAGATTAATTTTGGGCATTAAAATGATTTATTCAAATATGTTTTTGTCCAGGATGAAGCAATGATACAATATGGCTCTTCGCTGATGTGTTATAATCCACTGCTGAAGGAAAGGGTGACAATATTTTTGCTCATGTCTGCTTTTGTCTATAGCTTAACATCTCACAAACTACTGAAGAGATTTTAATGAAACTCCCAGAAAGTAATCATTGGCTGTACAATAGTCCCTCGCTACTTCGCAGTTCAACTTTCGTGGACTCGCGGTTTTTCAACGATTGTCAACTTTAATATTACTCACGTGGTTGGGACGGTACAAAATAAAAAGTTAACGGAAAAAAAACAACTTTGGACAGGTGCCGCCATTTAGTAGTTTTCTTTCAATAAGCCTATACTGTAAGGCCAGTCAAAAGGACTACAATACCCAGAAGCCAACAGTGCTTCCGCTGCTGCTTTCTGCCGAAATGGAGGGAGTTTTGATTCGATCCAAACCTGACTAAAAAGTTCTGTCCTTATTCATAGTGACTTTGGCACTCAACAGCTGAGAGCCAATCAGAACCCAACAAAAACTGGACCAAGGCTACTTTGGTCAATGTGAGTGCTGCTTGCCCGCCCAGGGAGCCTCTCGAGCAGGGAGGCATTGCTTGGAGGTTCGGTGTCTTCTCCGGAGCTCACCCGGACTTTTTCATCTGGATCCGTCTGGATTATTTTGACTCGATACGGACCATTGTGTGGTTTTGTGCTGGCTCTCTCCAAAAGCATCTGGTGTTCAACTGCTGCAGAGAGCCAATCAGAACCCAACCAGGACCAATGCTCATGAGTACCCATTTAAACTTTTGCAGTACTGTACAGTACATACAAGTATGTTGTTAAAATTATGTAGGTTTAAGAGTTTAAAACATTGCAAGAGTGTGGGGTTTATAAAGCCGTAATATATATATATATATAAATACTAAAATAAATAAAATGTCCCTACTTCGCAGAATTTCACTTACTGTGGGAGGGCTTGGAACGTAACTTCAGCACTAAACGAGGGACTACTGTAGTTCCTGCTCTTGTGATGTTAAAACATAATTCTATCAGCATCTCTTATTACAATATTTAGATTGTGTAATTACTCGAGTCATAACTGTGAAAGTTTGCTCCTAACGTACCAGCGGTGTTGTACTCACCGCCATCATTAACGACTCCTCACCACTCATCTCATAACCCGATTTCCCTCTTACTGTCTACAAAAAAACACCTGCTGTAGCTCCATTAGGAAGAGGTGTGGTAGACCACCTCCCTAACCCACCCACACCCTAAAATCCAACCCCATCATATAAAATATCATAATGTTCCCAACACTGGTCCTTGTGGAACACCATCCTGCATGTTTTAATCGTTCCCTGCTTTGACACAACTGATTTAAATTAATGGGCTTCTGCAGAACATAAGGAAGCAATTAAATCACTGAACAGGTGTGTTGGAGCAAGAAAACTAAAACATGCAGGATGGTGTTCCTCAAGGATCTAGGTTGGGAACCACTGACTTTTAACTTGACTTTTACAGAATGCATATAAATGGGCTTGAATAATCTGCTAATAGGCCTTAGATGCAGATATTTTAATTATATAATTAGTCATTTTACTTGATCTTTGGTGTAATTATTACAGATTTTTATTTTAGCGTACCTAAGTGAAATGATAAAAGCGTCTTCATTCTTGAAATTCTTTGTGATCTGTGGAAAAATTGTGTTGTTCTAATTAAATCTAGTTTTATCACAAATCACACTGATAAGCTGCACATATTGTTTGGATTAACGTTTTCATTCAAATGTTTTAACATCTTTTGTGATGACACTAAACAGATGTTGAATTGCACACAGTGGTGTCAAGAAGGTAATCTGAATTTAAACAGGAAGTTGGGTCACAGGTGTTATCCGAGTGGTTTTTGGTGACACAGAAGCTTCATGTTCAGTGTCCACAAACATTTTCAGAATGATGTAATGAATAAGAATTATTTATGTACCTGCAGGACGAGTCAACGTACAAGTAAGAGCCGACAGAAAACACAGAAAAGCATGCGAGCCAAATGAAATCAATGTGGTAAAAATAATTATTTTCAGTAATAATTTTAAACAATCTTTGGTTCAGATCTCAGGCTGAACATGTGTTTGAATTAAATTATCGGAGCACATTACCCACTAGAAAACAAGTCTGTATGAAGTAAGTTTGTTTTTTAATAAGATCAATTTAAAAAAAAAAAAAAGATTATTTACCGAAATGTATTTATTTTTCTAAATCAGGTGACTTATTTAGGCAGTTTAGACCCCATTAGTGATTTGTGATGTTAGGTGTTCATTTTATGGAACAATATAAAACTGGTTGTGCTGTTTTTATTTTAGACATCCAAAATGTTGCTAACAATGCAATATTTTTTTACTCATTTTAACAGAAATGTTGGTGCATTTAAGTGAATTAACTTATTCTTGGAGAAAGCCCAGTGGCATAGTGGTTAGTGCTGTTGCCTCACAGCAAGAAGGTCCTGGGTTCAATCCCAGGTCTTTCTGTGTGAAGTGTGTACATTCCCCTCATGTAAATAAATAAATAAAAACTGTTTGCACTCTCAATCTTTCACCTGCTCCAAAGTTTATTAAACCTTCCAAGAAGATGAATTATTGCTGTTTTCTCAAACAAACTAAAATCTATAGTCCTAGTACAGACATGACTGCTCAAAGCAAAGACATGATGTGTTTCTTTAAATAAAAATTTGATCAGTTTGTTACGAATGCCGTCACAAATTTCCGGAGTGACTCAAGGTGGGAATACACGAGTGTGTTAAGACCTTTGGCAGAAGTTTCAGGTCATTTCTCCAGCTGAAGTATCATTCTGACTTTATTCAGGCTCTGAATAACAGCAGCACTACAGTAAAAAGGCACTTTGGTGAGAGCCTCCACTGATATGCCATTTAGTCTGCACTGACGTTGTGTAAATTACAGCTAAAAGTAGGGCAGTTGCACAAAACTACTGAAGAACAGAAACAAAATCAACAAAAAGAAGTACTGCAGGTTCTGCGTACGCTGGTCCAAAATAAGGAAGCAGGAGGCCCATGTGGATTTGGGACACTGCGACAGAGCAGATCAACCAGGTCAGGGCTCCTTGACTCTGGTCTCAGTTCAGTTTTAGACACTTCTCCTTTTATAAGTTAGTGAATGGTATGGACCCAGGGGTCACCACAACACAGGAAAGTCCATTTTGCTGAAGCCGGGCTCTTTGCGCAGTTCCCAGTAAGTGTTGTTGCTCACCCACGTGTCGTCCTTGGATTTCCTGTCCACACAAAGCACACAAAATGAATATACTGTGTCTTCAAAAGTAAATCAGTCAGATTCACATTAAAATCTGTCAGAGTCAACCTATTTAATGCGATTTTAATAATCAAATCATTTTAAAGCTTTACTTGAAAAACCACGGCTGATGGGTCATGTGGTTGTCGTGCAGCACTTTTCTCCTGTCCCTCTGGAGCTGCTCTATCCTCTGTTTCTGCTCCTCAGCTCCGTCCACGTTTCCCTCCTCCAGCAGCCTGGAAGAAGAAGCCAGATTGTGAATACCTGTTAGGAGTCATCAACCCTCTGAGGTCTTCCAGTAAGAACACAAACCTGTACTTAAACTGATAATGTGCTCTTTGTTTGAAGAGGGTGGTTTAAAATCTCACAACACATTTAGAATCGCTGTATCCTGGACTGTGTTTTAATTAATTTCATCCATCTGTTGCCATGGTGATGTCCACATTTCTGATTTGATTGACTTAAAAACAACCCTTTGTTTCCCCCCAAGATGAATCAGTAATGTTGTAATTTAATGTGTCTGGTCTTAATCAACAATGTTTTTTCTAAGCCAAATTTAATTATTTTTAATCGGTTGGGCCAAATAATATATTTCTTAGTGAATGCTTTTCTTTTATTAGTTATAGTCAAATTTGTTTGAAATCACATTGTATAAAGGAAACAATTTGATGTAACAAAAATTAGTCATGTCACGTAAATATTTTTTTTTCAAGTATTTGTGTCAGTCTTCAACAAGTAAGAACGTACTGGAGACAAGATTTATATTAACTTTGCAAAGACGGGTGAGTTCATTCAGAAAATAGTTAAAAATTAATTGAGCCAATCCAGAAAGGTTGCAAATCATCAACAAAAATGAAGTTCAGTAATTTCTAAAAGATTATGGCGACTGGATAAAAAAAAAAAAACATTTATTTATTTTGCTTCTTGTCGTGCAAAAAGTGTTTGGTGTGGAAATTTAATATTAAAAGGCTATTTTTTTTAATAATTCTGTTTTTGATGCATCGGTGTGGACTTGAGATTCAGAGGTTTGTAGAAACGGCAGCATTTTTTAATTTGTGCCTTAGAAAGTACAACAATGAAGCCGTTTGAAACATGCTTTTCTGCACCCGTCTCACTTTATTCTGATCTTATTGCTGTTAATCTTTGTGTGCTGAAACGTTTAACCGAGAGGAAATTATACACGAGCATAAAGAAAAAAGGTATTTTGTGAGTTTTCATCCATGTAACGAATGTTTGTTTTCTTAGATGTTAGTAATGTGGACGTTCCTGCCATCTAGTGGCAAATTTTGGGAACTACAGCAATTTGTTAGAATCATGTAAGAAGTTTTTTTTTAATCGATGGATCAAAGAAAATTCAATAAAAAATATCCAGCGTAGTGTAGACAGGATCCAAACTGTCACAACTAGTTACTTTAATATATTATATATATATATATATAAACAATTTAACACAACTGAATAGAAAATTGTTACAATGCCTTTTTGTCCATTTCGATTAAACAAGTTGCTTTTCAGTTGTTAGATTTAAATTTTAACAAGGATAAATAAATCAACTCATCTCATTTAATATGTTTGTTTGTCAACATTTAAGACAATCCAACATGTGCCTTTGATTACTTTTGAGTGTGGACAAAAGCAGACATGGCTCACCACATCTGTTTTTTGACATGCAGATAAATATTTAAGACTAAGTGCGTCAACTGATCAACTTTAACTCAGTCATTTAACTTGTAAAAATACTAATAAATAAAAAAGTATTGTGACTCTGCACAGAAAACATAAATGAAATGTGGGAACCTCTGGTCTGGTCTGAAGCGCGTGTCTGTGGGGGGCAGCAGGGGTCTTAAAGTCGAGTCCAGTTCGTTCAACTCCACTGCAAACTGGGTGAAACCATAGTACTGGTCCTGCTCATCCGGCATTGGATCTGTAGACAACACAAGGTCAAAACGACATCCTCAGCTTTCCTGACATTAAAAAGCTGACAAATACTGAGCGCATTCACTCACTCGTTCGCCAGATACACGTAGCAGAGGGTGGGTCTCCTTGAAACACAGATTCATGCCATTTCCCAAAAATGGAGTGTACCACTTTTCCATTTGAATCTGTAACCACACCTTCTATTTCGTTTATTGTCGAGCTCCAGGATTTTGCCTAAAAAGAAGAAGCAAAGCAATCAAACGCATGCCAACGTTCACGATGAGATGATTTGTCCATATTCCAATAATAAAACGTCCAGTTTTCAGTGCTTGTCTTCATTTTTAGGCAGTCAGTTCTTCCCTTTTCCACTAGATGACACAATTGGCCTTGACTTGCAGTAAAAGACGATGCATTTATTCTAAGAGGTATAGATGGCAAAGATGTGTTATAACAACTGTGACAGATACAAATCAAATGGTCAGAGATGAATAAAGCCAAGATTTGTGCTACATTCCAATTAGCCATACCAATTACAACCCTCTGACAAGCTTTGTATGAAGATACCATTCAGAACATTTAGCCTCTATAGACAGAATCCCCCTGAAGAGGGATTTCTCTCTACAGCTAAATCAAACACTCAGCAGACAGTAAGTACAAAAAACACAACTTGTTCCCCCACCTTAACAAATGTCACTTTACACTGGCAAACATCACTGTTAATGTTTTTAATGGCCATCTCCCCGTAGTGTTCAATCCAGCGCTGGCCACTGAGGATGTTATGGATGCAGGACGTCACTTTGTTCCACTCATAGTGGTCCCCGAATCTGGAGAGACACCACACAGGCTGCTCTAATTTAAAACTACACAGGGACATAGACGCTCACTGGATTTACGCACACAGAATATGGAAAAGACCTACGCAGGTAGAGTGACATGTGTGGTTCCCATGGGAACGATTTCCATGGATTTACCCCAGAACTTATTTTTCCACCGCACATCTGAAAGACAAGAACAAAAAAAAAATCTTCCATTAAAAAAAGAGTTATATGCATGTGGCAAAAGAAAGTAAATGATCATAATTACCGTATTTTTTGGACTATAAGGCGCACTTGAATTTTCTCAAAAATCGACAGTGAGCCTTATAATCTGGTACGCCTTATGTATTAATTCTGGTTGTGCTTAATGACCTAAAACCGATTTTATGTGGTACACGCCACGGCGCTCAAAAATTGGTCAAAATGAACTTATTTCGCTTAATGCGCTAGAGTTGCATTCGAGTCCAAAAAATCCGACTCGACCCGGTCCCAGCCCGTAGCCGTCATTTCCGAACCCCACCCGATCCGATGAGTTAACAGTAATTACAGGTCCTAACCTGAAAAAAAACAGACATTTTTAATTAAGCTTTGACTGCTGGTCAGCAGACGAGCGCGGTTGAATAAAGGGGGCAGAAGATCGGAGCTGAGGGGGTGTTCGGCACTCCATGGTGGTCAAAGCACATTAAATGTTTCTGCCTGCATTGGACCCTGCTCTGACATGTCGGATATTTTATGATGCGACACATTTGGGTCGTCGGACGCGCACGTCCGCTGAGTGCAGCGGCTGAATGAACGTCCATTTGGGCGATGGATCACTGGCAGTAATCCATCTGAAGCTTAACTGAACTTTTTACCTCTTTTAAGGCCGGTCTGCATGCGGTCAAATGGACACATGGGGCAGGTGATAGTATGGCAAGCCATGCTGCCATATGATTGGATCGTCAGCCGTGCGCGTCCGCTGAAGCAATCAAAAGCCCGACACTGACCCAGCCCACACATTAAGCACATTATTATGAACCGGCCTGGTCCGAATCCTGGTCGGGCAGGGCCGGGCTCCGAGTTCGAAATGACAGCTCTATAATGCGCCTTATAGTCCAAAAAATACAGTATAACACATTTTAAACAAACATGACAACAGGCAGCTGTTCCTTTAACTGGAATTGATAAACAGATAAACAAGAATTTCAACAGATTAAGACAAACACATTGTTATCGCAGGGTTGACCACCAGTTGTCACCTTGACCATAACCCACAACATGCGGGGAGAACTCAGGAACAAAAGGCGGGGCCGCACTGATTCAGTCTACGTTTCAGACAGAGGACAGGGGCTGTTTAACCCAAACACATTCTCACCTTGCTTAAAGCAAAAGTTCTTTGAATCCGCGTGACACGCCGACACAGGTGGGTGATGACTCACCTGGAAATAGAAGAGAAATGGTCAGGCCCTTTATTCTAATCGTTTTTGTTTTTTTATTAATTCAATAATCTGTTGACATAAGGACCTTCAGAGGTGACCCCTGAAATATTTTTATCAGCTTTGAAACCATTGCTACATTATGATTATTCAAGGGATCCGTCTAATTACTGTAAACAAACACAATTTCATTTCACTGCTTGTTTACATGTTTTGTAGGGAAAGGAGTGAAGTTTCTACAAAAGGAAGAAGTTCTTCCAGTTTCTAACCTGTTCTTGTAACGTGAGGTAACCTGATAAAAATGTCACAGTGACTGTTGTTAAACATTTGAGACTTTGTTACATATTTTATAAAAGTGTTAACAGGCTGGAATGATGTCTACCTGCTCGGCTATAAACCTGAATCCCTTATCAAGTCTGGCACACTCGTACGTCTCTCCCAGGACGGGGTTGAAGGGTTTGCTCCCTGCTCGGCAGTAGGTAGAAGCGTAGGCAGATATCGCAAACGTTGCAACATACACCTGTGAAAGACAAGAGGAGGACGAGTAAAGATTTACTCTGTGTGTTGTTGGTACAGTAGTCCATCGCTACTTCACAGTTCGACTTTCGCGAACTCGCTCTTTCGTGGTTTTTCAAAGTAAGATTGTACACGAGAAAAAAAAATTGTACACGACACACGATTGTCAACTTTGATATTATTCACGTGATTGGGATGGTACTAGATAATGTACATTAAAAAGTTAACGAAAAAATAAAATACTTTGGACAGGCGCTGCCATTTTGTAGTTTTTGTTCAATCAGCCTACACTGCATCCCTACTCATAACAACTACATTTCCCAGAAGCCCCAGTGTCCTCTGCTGAAATACGTCGAGGGAAGTTTTGATCTCATCTGGAAAAAGTTTGGTGCTTATTCATACAGTGACTTTGGCGCCCAGCGGATGCAAAGAGCTGCACGGAACCCACTGGGAACCGGACCAGAACCAGACCTCCAGACTCATCGGTCAATCTGAGAGCAGCTTGCTGGACCACAAGGACTTCCAAGTGGGGACACAACGCCCGTAGGTCAGGCGTTCCACCGGGACTTTTTTCATCCAGATTTGGACTCAGTCGGACTCGAACTGAGAAGCTGTTTCTGCAGAGCAAGTACGCAAAATTTTGCAGCAGTGCGTAGTTAAAATTACGTAGGTTTAAGAGTTTAGAACAATGTGGACTTCGTTGCTGCAGGGTAGGTCTGCAGAACCAGAAAGCAAGCAGTACACTACGTACTGGTGAAAAAACATTATCAAGTTATCTTGATTAATAAACTCCTGCTAAAAAAAAACTTTTGCTTTAGTTTAATTGATTTAAATTTATTAGTTGACTGAACTGTTTTGGTTTGTTGTTTCAACTTAGAAACCTACGTCAATTTAACTTAAGTGTTAAATAAATTTTATAAAATTTAAAAAAAGACTAAAATAAATACATAGCAATCCTACGTCGTGGATTTTTGCTTATTGTGGGGGTGTCCTGAACCTAACCCCAACGATTAACGAGGGACTGCTGTATTCATGCTTCTGTCTGAATTGTATATTGTACTGCGGTAACGAGTGTGTTGTACATAACTAAATGTACAATTTGTACCATAAATAAATAAAAGCAGCATGTTCATGAGTTTTTTTAGTGAAATGAAAATATGTATCTTGTTTGTTCAGTCATTTTGATGCAGTATGGTCATAAATGTTCAGCTCACCATGCGTTGGTACGGATCTTGCGTCTGGTTTGCGGCGTCCAGGAGGTCGCTGTACTCCAGCTCCTCGCACAGCCTCTGCAGGGTGTTGAGCGGCTCGTTGAGCTGCACAGGCATGGCCACCTTAGACAGGTCTTTGCCGATGTTGTTTCTGAGGATGTTCCACAGGCTCACGTTGTTGGACGGGCAGGGGCACGGCAGCACGGAGCGTCGGTGAGTGAGGGTCACCACGCTGCTGACTGGAGGAGAAAAGGTGTTTTATAAACAGAGGTGGAGAATGTGCGAGGGCAAAAATGAAATGGAAGCATGCCTTTAACGTCCATCTGTTCTGCTGAACAAATACATGGAGGCAGTGAAAATCTGAAACTAACATCATCTGCAGAAGTCTGTTCAGACTAAATGATGAGGCATCACACTGAGTTTGTAAACATGTCTGGAAGTCTACGATGCTCGTGTTCGACATGTTCTCAGAGCAAGTGAGTAATTTCACTGAGTCTAAACATTCAGCATTTATTTAATGATGGCTTCAAAACACAACACAGACGATTAGACGTAGTCACAAAACGATGACCAAAAACTGAAAACTCAGAAAGTTTCTTCAAGTGTTTTTTATCCTTCCATCTGTTAAACGGGTTCGTTATGATTTAACATAACACAAACACATGCACATCTTGTAACTGTATCTCATGCCAGAGTTGTGTCTCGCACTGCCTCCATCGATGGTATCCATGGAGACGGTGTCGCTGACATCACTGCTATACGAGTCATCGTCAGACGCCTGCAGACACAAAAATCAACGAGGAAATATCCGTTAGGCTCCAGGATGCAGAGTTAGAGACCAACACAGAGGGAACATCCGTTTATTGTTTATCATCATTGTCACATTTGAGAATGTGCTTGTCTCAGATTAAAATGAATTAATGCATTTATATTTTTTGAGTTTATAATTCTGATTTGAGCTCATTTAAATTTTCATTACCAGCACTGAGTAAAGTGTAAAGAAAGTGTTTTGTGTGCATTTTTAAACTCTTGTGAGCTTGTCGGCTGTCTGCTCAGCGGGAACATTGACTGACGTCCTGCTTGCTGTGAAAGTGCAACCGTGGCAAGACCATAACCGTCGCTTTCAGATCTGAGAATAGTTTTCTCCTCTTTCATTGTGTAGCTGCTACTGTATTTAAAAACACCAGACATCTACACTCAACACCCATTTATATAAAGATGGACAAAACAAGTTCAAGTTCAAGAATCTTTATTATTAAACATTCAGTATTTGGGATCATTCATTTGACGCGAGTTGTCTGTGAGTTTTTTTTTATTTAGGTTTGAACATGGGGAAAAACATAGGGAATATGATCGGACCTCATTCTCAGATGAAGACGAGGAGAGCAGGTACTCCTGGGCATCAAAGAACTCTGATATCGAGTCTGGAATAGAGGCTCTGCTCTCACTGGAAACTTGGTGGACCAGGGATGGAGCTGAGCATTCCTGATTAAAGATTTCAGTTTAGAGAAATTAGTTAAATGACACATGAAGCTGGACGTAATCATGCAGAGATGCTACTCACTGAGGCAAAGCTAGTCTTCAAACCAATGATCTGAGGTGGCTGGGGGGCCTGCAGGTCGATGGTGAACTTCAGTCTGTCTTTCTCTGCTAACAGAGTACTAAACGCTGATTTCAGAGTAGCATGGACTGCAGAGAAGGAAGGCCAGGCATGAATAAGAAACAGAACAGGAGCTACAAAGTTGTCATGGAAACTATGTTCCTATATAGAAGAAAACAGAAAAAGTATTTTTTTCTCCTCTCTACAGTAAATCTTCGCAAATCTAGAAGTATGAACTCACTGTTGTCGGCCAGTCGGCAGAAGTCCTGCTGTAGGAGTGATGCTTCTGTAGGGGAATCTGGGGACTGAGGGCAGGGTTCCTGTGTACCTGGTTCTGTGGTGGAGAGGTTGGGATTGGACGCATGAAGACGAGGAGACTGCGTAGAGATACAACTTGGAACCTGAAATGCAGAAAAAACAAGCCTTAATTTTCTTTTTATTCCTTTGTGAATGTATTTTTTGTATGCTTGTATTAATTAAAGGCAACTGTAAAAAAAAATAATAATAATAATAATTAAAAGAAAAATCTGGACATGTACTTGTAGGGTGGCTTTGGATTCTTTGCCATTGTGTTTGGATCTCCATCTCTTTGGCCTTTTTTCCTTTTTGGGAATTTCAAAAGTGGATGCCTGTGGAGCCAGAAGAAATAAACAAGCCGTAACGTAAGCATGGCTGTTCTGAATTATGTTAAAGTTTCAGGTGTGCAAGACTGCATATATGCTCATTACTTAACATAAAGAGATTTGAGGTTATATATGAAGAACTGAGATGAACTTCTGCCTGAATGTTTTACACAACTACCACTTGACCCACTGCTATGAATTGTAACCAACATGTGTGAACAAATGAACTTCTGTGTAGACGCATTTCTTACTTGATGTTCTGTTTAATGTAACACAAAAACAAACACTGTAAATCACCTGGTCTTTTTTAGGCACTTTAAACAGGCACTGTTTGTGGTAGTGAATCAGAATGTGACAAGAATAATATAATTGAGTGTCACCACTTCAGCAGAATGATGAAGGCATTAATGTCATCCATCAGTCACAGATTAAAGCAAACTCAATCTGTGCATCTCTGCTTACTTGTAGAGTAGTGATGGCCGGGGCCGAGTATGTGCGGTGCAAGACTTCCATACTCTTCAGCAGCAAGTTGAGCTCCAGCAGATAAGACTCGCATTCTTCCAGCTCTGAGTGAACAGCAGATTATTATTAGATAAAAGCGTGTTTGCACGCAGGCACAGTGATAAGGGCTAAAATGGGACGTGAAGGGCTGCGATGAGACAAGCTGCGACAGAGATGTAAACAGGTTATAATTTGTGTCAAGGCAGCAGAGAAGTGATGAAAAGAAAACAAGCAACCTTTGCCACATTTGTTCATCTCCTCAGAAGAATGGAGCCAGGAGCTGACCTTAGACTGGTGAACTGATGACTGCTTAGTGAGAGTGGCTCTCTGGATGAGGATGAAAGAAAAATGAAAAGATTATGCGCACAGTCTCAGATAACACATCTGTTTAGGCATTTTGTCTCTTCTACTCACTTTTCTAAGAGAGTCGTTTAGAGAAGGCGAGGACGTGGCGTGGGGGTGGAAGAGTTGCCTCTCGTGGGGATACGTGGCAATTTCGTTTTGCCGAAACATACGGTGGTGACGCAGCTTTGACACCCACTCTTCAAACAGCTCTGGGGGCTTCACCTGGATTACAGAGAATCAAAGACAAACTGGTGAGTTGAAGAAAGCTTCTGTGAATGTCTTTGGATGAAACGGGCAAAGGAAACGCCTACAGGTGAGAAACAGCTCAGATTTAAGCTTTACCTTTAGGTGATAAATGTTGTCCTCTGTGTCCAGGTCAATACACATGGCTTTCTTCTTGATTGACATCACAGAGAGCCCAACATCTATGCAGCCATGCAGCTTTCCCTTTTGCAGCTGAGGTTAAAATGATTGATTTTGAGTTAGTTTGTACGGTTGTGTAAGAAATGACTGACAGATGGCGCTATTGGGATTACACTTACATCAGTTGAACGCTTTGCATACTTCAAGATGCCTTTCTCCAAGACGAAGTATCTCTAAATGAGAAGAAAACAAAATCAGTTTTCAAGAAATTAAGAGAGGGTTGCTGCAACTGCAACAACACCACCACTTCATAAAGACCACTGAGAACTATAATTTATTAATTTAGACAGCAACAATGTAGGCAACTTTTTAGGCTTTATAACATATCGCTCATTTCAGTGCTATGTAAAAATAATATTTTTTTGAAAAAGTAAATATTGTATGCTTTTATGTTGACCGTGCCATTTAAATTTTACAACAGCTGCAATAAAATAAATGATTAGCAGGAAATAAAATGTTCACAAACAGACCAAGCCACCCTTTACAAGAACTTTTCAGTTTTTATAATCAGACGTGTGCTCTGATATGGCTCCCTGACAGAACTTGGACCTCCCTTATCAGATGGCATGTGAACTATTAACACATCAATTCCATCGTGTTTTAAGGCTAAAGTTTCCACATATGAGTAGAGTTACAGGAAGAAGAAGAAGAGGAAGATGTGTTAAGCTCATGTTGTAATCAGTTGGGGATGGAAAGATGGAGATATGTACCAGTGATGAGGAAGAAAGGTAGTCATAACCTGAGGTGTTAGAAGAAAGCAGGACAGAGATTTGGTTACATATTAAGGTTTGACTTAAAATGTCAAATATAACAAATGGATTTTATCAGGAAAACAATAAGAGCCTAAAATCACACATTTTACCAAACTGGATGAAAGAACTGAATAATGAAAACAAACATGTCTGATATGCTTTGCATCAAACAAAGGCACACAGGCATCACAGTGTTGCTGCTGCCTGGTGAAGCGCTCACCTTATGCCAACCCTTCATGGGCCACTTCCTCCTCTTCAGCAGGAAACCCTTCTGACCGTCAGGCTCCTGCATGCTGGCAGGAACCCCCCTGAGCCCCTCCACAATCTCCCAGCTATCCTGGGAGGAGATACAGGAGCAGCAGAAAATTAACATTTGTGAAAAAAAATTCCTCCATTCCAAAAGCAGATTTATACACAAGGACACTGGTTTGTAGGCAAGGTGTTGTTCCATCGCTTTGGGAAAGCGGCTCCAGTTAACCACTGCTCTAACTCTGGAGAAAAACAATGTAATGATCAGCCAATCAGAAAGCTCCTGATTATATCTAAGGTTGCATAAAGGTGGGTTACAAATGTACTAATTAGGCATCTAAATAAATGCCACACCTCTCTAACCTCTCTGCATATGCAGTTTGGTTTCAGTCTGCTGTCATCATCCTCAGGCAGAAAGCTTTGTCTTTTTGGAACAAGTTAATTGTTTACTTGATAAAGGTAGTTGTGTGAAAAGTATACGATACCTTCAATCATTATGTGCTTTAGTCCTAATTGACACACCACAATTTACCTGAAGAAGCTATTCTTTGAATCAAACCATATCTATCAAACACGATTGGATCAACTCTTCCTAGTACGACTGCCCTGTAGGAGTCCCACAAGGCTTTATTCTTGACCCAGTTTTGTTTATACTTTACATTAATGATTTACCAGATAGTAGCGCAAATGTTCACGTAGAAACCTAAATAAATAGCATTATTTTTCATAGTTAATGCTGCTAGGATGTATATGAATTTGTTAATTTTATTTCACATATCAATTAATATAACACAGTCATCCACAAGTAAATTAAATATTAAAACAATCAAATACATTTGACAATAGCCTTAAAAGCTTGTGAAATACTGTAAATATTGGAACATTTTACCACCTACTGTGAAAAAGTATTCCACAGATTACACTTTTAAGGCTAATCTGAAACAATATTTGAAATAACAAATACTGATAATAACCTCTGCGAACTTGGAAAATCTTTTTATTTACTTTAATTTGTATTCTTGTTTTGTTTTTGTGCTAGTATGCCCTTCTTAACTCATGTATGCTGTTACCTTTTGTCTTTTTTATCTTACTTCTTCCTTAAGTGTTTTACCATCAACTTGTCAGGGACTACAATTAAAAGTGAGCCCTCATGGCTAAATCTAGCCAGTCCAGAGGTTTAACCTTTCTTCATTATTATGCCTTGCCCCTTTTAATCAATAAACAGTAATAAACATTACACTTCATCATAATAAAAAATAAACTTCCAAGTAAACTTTGGGTGAGACTGTGGTTTATGTAGCTTTAAGACAATATTAGAAAAACTTAAAAGTTTGTTTAAATTGTTAATATTTATACTGTGACCAGTTTCAAAGGTTTAACATGCCGACTTCCTTTACAGCCTTAGAGATACCAAAGGATATTTAACGTAATTTCCGGAGTATAAGTCGCTAGTTTTTTCACACGCTTTGAACACTGCGGCTTATACCATGCTGCAACAAATTTATGGATTTTTTTTTGACGGGCTAACGAGCTTCATGCTGCCAAAACATTTAGCCTTGTCACACCCAGGGGCTCACATAGCTGCCCAATAAACGTCTCTCTTGGGGGGTAGTTCCTCGTGACTCAATAAGACTATCTGTATAAATAAAAGGTTAAAAGCAAAACTGACCAATGACATTACCAAACAGATCACAGTGGACCAATGAAACTTGGTTTCATTGGAAACCAAGTCTCTCCCCGCCCCCTCGTTCTCTCCGCCCCTTCTCATCCCTGTGGGAGTTTCCCCCCTCGTTGTACACAACAAAGTATTTGCAGTCACTATAAGTGTGAATCGTAAATCAAATCGCGAATTTGCCTCAAGATGAAAGTGACGTTGACAATGAAAGAGAGGACGTGTGTGATAAAGTTTTTCTAAGGCTGTTCAATTCTGACGCTGAAGAAGACTTTAGTGGTTTTAGTGCAGGAGGAATGAAGATAGCGATCATTGACTTTTCCTGGTAGCCTAGGTCTGTAGCCTAGTGGTTGTGTTTTTTTTAACCAGCTGTGTTAAAGGCTCTATTTAGAAAAAAAAAAACATAGTGATCAATGACTTCCTGGTAGGCTACTGTATTTATAAAAAAATATATATTTTAACCAGCCATGTTAATGGCACCGTTCAGAAAAAAAAATTTACTGTGCATATTTGTGTATGTTACTGGTACGTATTTAATTAAAAGTTTAAAAAAATCTTTCTGTGTAAATATCTCATGTTACAATTTGGACACCTTCAGCTTATACACAAGTGCAGACTATATATGCACAAAATTGGTTTTCTTTTTAAATGCAGTGGGCGTGGCTTATATTCAGGTGCGCTCAATAGTCTGGAAATTACGGTAGATTAGGCAAATCAAACGTAAGCTGATATTACCTTTGAATGAAACCAAATTGTCAAATGACAGACAAAGCATGCCACAGTCACGCAAACAGACCTGGTTAACGTCATGTTTGGAGGAGCAGCTGCTGTCGCTGTGAGTGGGTGAAAGTGTCGTCATTTTATTGTGACTTGACTGCTTTCTGTCTGTCTGTTGTCCTTTGTTTTGTAGAAACTGCAGCCACCGAGATCACAGCAAAACCACCAGGAGCATCACTCTCTGACCTTTGAAGGCCACGCCAGCAGCCAGCCCTGCAGAGAAAGGTTACAGCAAAGTGATGTCGGAGCAACACAAAGGTGACACTAACTCAACCAAAAGAACAGTGGCTGCAGAAAGACACCTGCCAAAACCAAAGAATCATTTATTCACAATTTAATAATAATAGTTCTTTATTTCATTTCGAACAGTTAAAAATTGCAACAAAACCATAAAAAATACAAATTTAAATATTTCCACCAAAATATTCTGGAAACAAAACAAAAATGTTTGAAAAGGAGCAGGAAGAAGCAATTTACATATACATTCTGAACCAAACCAGTTTTGTAAAAGAAATTAATAACACAAAAACTCAAAGTGTAGACCCGAAAACGGTGCAGGTAGAAGCACAAGCTTATAAATCAAAGCATCAGAATTTTTTTTATACAATTTTCTAAAACATATCAAGGAATTCCAGCTAAACTGATAGACAAACTCATAAAAAAAACTAAACACAAAAAAAGGAAAAAGAAGAACAAACCAAAAAAACAATCAAACCTTATTATATTTGTTTAGTAAATTATTTTTATACTTTTTTTTATTAAAAGAGTGAAAAACACAGTTGAAACTCCTCACAACTATTCCACACCTGAATCCCTCTAACTGAAGTTGACGTTGTTGTTTTTTATATTTGTCCTAACCTTTGTTTTTATTTTTTTTTTAATAAATCCTTCTCTCTTAAATCATAGTTTTTCTCTTTAATTTTGAACCACTTTTGTATACACCTTGGAAAGCGTTAATTATAGGCTTTGTACATAATCAGTGCTGTTCTGAGTTATACTAAGTCATAAAATTTTAAAATATGCAATGTAAGAAATGTGTCAGTAGTTGATGAAAATAATCAGATGCAGATATAATTCAGATAGCTTTCTTCTGGAGCATGTAGACCGGTTTTGTGTTGGTTTTATGAGTTTCCCCAGATCTCAACACAATAATTCATGTATGGAAACAACAGTATAACATGTAAAGTCATTTCTTATTTAGGATATGTTTTATTTTTAACATTTTGGCTTTTACATTATGAATATGAGCCTTCCAATACAATTTGTAATCAAGTATCACCCTCAAAAATCTGATCGCATACACTTGCTCTATTTCAATACGCTTTATCATGAGTTTGACATTATTTTTTATTTTATTGTTACTAATACTAAATATTACAAATTTTGTGTTATCATAATTTAGTGATAATTTATTTTTGTCACACCATTTCTTTTATACGGTACTTGTAATTCTCCTTCCATTATACTGAGGACCTGCTCCAAACTATTACAAGAGCAATATAATGTTGCATCATCGGCAAACAAAGGACATGTTACAACTTAGATCACATGTCAAACTCAAGGCCCGGGGGCCAAATGTGGCCCTCGTGACATTTTCTCTGGCCCCCACGATTGTTAAACGTAAAATACTTTCATCACTTGAATTGTTTTAGTAATCTTTGATTATGATGTGGAAAGTGCACCAGAGAACATCAAATGAGACCAATCAAACTCTTGTTGAGGAACATGCGACCAAGAGAAGATGTGGAGTATCTGATTTGAATTAATAGTTTTTGAAACTGGCCATTAGTTTGAACCAAGTTTTTAATTTTGGCCCCCTTTTGTAAGCGAGTTTGGCACCCCTGACTTAGATTCATTGCATATATCATTTATGTAAAGTGAAAAAAGTTTAGTACCCAGCACCTAGCCTTGTGGTACTCCACAGGTAACCTCCAATAAATCAGAATTCACATTATTTATTTGTACATATTGATGTCTTTGATTCAGGTAACGTTTTATCCAAGAATATACAATACCTCTAACACCATATTTCCCCAGTTTATGTAGAAGTAATTTCTCTGAATAATCATAAAATCTGTCAAATCTAAGATAGTCAAGTTTTTAGGAAGCTGGACAGAAATATCCAAGCTACAGTCATTATCGTGAACTCTTTTTCATAGAGAATAAATATTCATTTAGATGGGCACTAACTAATGTGCCCATCTAAATGGATTGTTGTTAAAAATAAGTTCAAACAAATGCATCAAAGTCAGTATTTATGGGCTTGGCAGCTCCATAACACAGCAACAATCAAAGTATCTTTGATCACTGCTTTTGTATGATGATGGAAGCATGAGAGCTTTAGCAATCAAGCTTTTTGTGTGACTCAGCAGAGCATTAAGCATAGAAACAAAAACTGATACTAAATAAATAATTGACTTCAGAGTGTACCATCCATTTTACTGTTAAACTGATCATGTGAGTCTATAATGATAAAGCTGAGAGTAAATGAAAAAGTTTAGGTGTTTATTCTGTGTTTTTATCCTCTAATATATATAATATGGTTGTTTTTTCTAACACCAAGCATTCTGTATGGTCTACATGTACAGTTGTATTGATTTAGTCAAAGCACATGGTGATCAAATACTTTCTGATCAAATTCCGTGTATTTTGAAATTACAGCATTTAAACAGAATTGTTATTTTTTTTTTAGCTTTATTTTAAGATAAAGATTATTTTTGCTGGATTTTTTTTATTCGGCTTTAAATGCTGATTAACATTTGTGATACAAAATGTCCATTTGTCCACATTGTTTTATGTTTCAGACTCATTTTAAAATATGCAAAGTTTTGTAAGATTTTCATCCTTAAAGGAAAATATTGCACACAAAAAGAACTCCTCTTTGATTTTTTTTTTTTTTTTTGAATATTTTTGGTAATTCCAGGCTGAGGCTCTTCTCTGGCTGAATCACTTCAGCACTTGAGGTTTTTTTTTTTACCATCCACCCCCTGCATTTTCTTTTTGTTATTTTGCAGGTCACTGTCCTTGAATTGTCAAGCTTCACCTTAACTTTTGATTCAGAGCACTCTGAAAACTATTTTTACTCAGAATTGCTCTGTACTTTTCCTCATCCTCTATTCTGTCACACATCTGCAGGTCTTAGTCATTTAAAAAAAAAAAAAAAGCATGATACTGACATTAACAACTTTAAAAACAACAGTACTGTTCAGGTAAAACTCAGAGTATTACTTTCACACACAGTTTGGAATAGATTCACAGAACTAGAATTTTAATTTTTTTATAGTTTGAGAGTAATTTGACTGACCTTTGTCACTTTGCCTTCCAGCATGAACCAAGCATAATTCTTTCTCGACAATCAACCATAAAAAGCCCAATCAGAGAACTACACTTGTGTTTGTTCCTCTAAATCTCTGTAAAGAAACTGAAAAACACATTGACCACTGGCTTGTATTATTAAAAATACAATCTCACAGGGCTACAGAGAATCTTTTCAGCATTGTGTATTCTAAATCACATCTGACGTTGTTAAGTTAGTGCCCCCCGATTAAGTCCAGTTAATATAGGAACAATGTAAAGCAGAAGCATCTGTGACCACTGACATAAGCAGGATGCAGCACAATCTAAACAAATGCTCCGATTATCTTCTTTAAATATGATCTCTAAACTCTTCTTTACATTTTATGGTTCTTTGGAGTGGGTAGAAAACAACACACCTACACTGTAACGCAACATTCATTCTTCTCCTTGCCACAAATGACACGACCCCACCTAGTTGTGTACGTCTCCATGTGCGTTTAAATGTCCCTCCCTCTCTTCATTTCTATAGTTCACAATCAGTATGTCAACTGGCCATAAAAAGGCACTCCACAGTCATGGGAATGCCTACTGACTTGCTGTGTGCAAGCATGCATAAAAATTTATGTAAACTACCGGACTCTAAAGTATGCTGCTATAGCTACGGCCTGTGTAAGCACTCTGGTGGTTTAAATGAATGTTTGTGTATTCTGAGGTTTCCCAAGCCTTTGCTTACAGTCTGCACCATGTTCAGGACGTGAGTCACGAACAGGAAAGAATTTGTGCTTCGATACCTCTGACACACCACAACACCCGGCTAGTTACAGTCAACAGTGGGCTGAAAGCAGACTGGAGCACATGAACAGCCCACTTAGTTCACAGCTCTGGAGCTCAGACTCAAAGGACACAGCATATTTCAGTGGGTTCTGTTTGCACTTTTCACGCTGTGACTTGCCTACCCCTTTCAGCTGACTCCTAAACATACAGAGCATTAATTACGTTGGGAATTAAACTGCACACACCCTTCTGCAAACAGCTGTTGCTTCAGTAAATGAACTCCTGCTGTGTGTAGTCGTGCAAAAGCTTCATTTGACCGTATTACAGTTTTAAGTAATGCGTGCCTCAACGTTGATTTATAACTACGACTACATTTCTGGGCAAAGATGTGAATAAAATTGCATTACCTGGTGTGTGCGGAATGTCGTAGAAATTTTGAGGATACTAAATAGGTGGGTTTAAAAAAAAGGTAGTGGCAGACTATTTTTATCAGCTGATTCAAAAGTCATGTCCTTAAGAATTAAAAAAACTGGAAACAGGAACTGTGAGATGAATCATGAAGACATTTTTTGAATGAGTCACAGGTCAGTGTTAGGTGTAGCTTAATAAATAAACTATCCCACTAAAAAGAGCTGAATATGAGGGAAAAATAAGTCCAAAGACGAACAGAAAGCCTGCTAATCTATTGCCTAAAAACACTTAAAAGCATAAAAAGTTTGTCTTTTTAAGGCAAAAAAATTAATTGGGAAAAGTGGCAAGACTATTCCATACTCTAAAATCATCTTAACTTTGATTTATACAAAATAAGTTAGAAGAGAAGCATCATCAGCCATATTATTTGTCTTTTCCACCTCGTTTATTAATACAGCACAGCAGCAATGTTTGCAACAAACTTCCTCAAAGTGAAACCTTAAAAATAAGCTCTGTATGTCAAGGAAAAGATTTTATTTGAAGTCTTACTGCCTCACAACTCATCAGCTTCTTGCTCGCTTGTCTCAAACATGCAGCATGAAAGCTACTCGGATTATCTTCCAGCCATAAACTGTGAATGTATGTTAATTGATCTATGAACATCTGGTTGTGTTGTTGCCCTACCTACACCCTCTCAACTGAAGGATGAGTTTTGATTATGGCTGGGAATT